GCTGCTGCTGTGACTTTTACTAAATAGAACTTCAGGACCTGTGACTTGGTCTATGGTTAATGTCATCAGGGATCCAAAATGAGAGGGTAGAGTATGGCCCAGAAAGAAATTAGGGCTCCATTTTCCAAATGTGATGAAAGACATGATTCTGTAGACTTAAACAGCTCAGCAAACCTTGGTAGGATAAACCCAAAGAAGTCCATGCCCAGACACATTGAGAACACTTAGAAACCAAGGATAAAGGAAAACACTTGAAGTCAACTGGAAGAAAATGATACCTTAATGTCAGACAGGGAACCATTTAAGTGGTTATGGAATTCTTATCAGAAATTAGGTAGGACAGAAGGCAGTGAAGTGACATTTTTAAAGTGCCCAAAGAAAAAAACAAAGGAAAACCAAAATCCCGTATACCAAAAGTGTTCTTCAGATAGGAAGGAAAAATAAACATATCTTCATATAAAGTAAAGCTAAGAGCCAGCAGACTTGTTAGTTAAAATAATCATTGGTCCTTCAGACAGACAGAAAATCATACTGGAAGGAAACTTGGTCATCAGGGATAAAGAGAAAAATAAGCAAATAACAAATATACAGGTAAATAGAAGATCTTTTTAAGCTCTTTAAGATATGTTTTCACTATTAAAGGGAAAATTAAGAAAAATATCTGGAACCAAACAAAAACTAAAATATGTCGTATCAAAGTTTGCACATGCAATGAAAACATTGCTTAGAGATTCATAGCACCAAATGTTTACATTAGGCAAGTAGAAGTTCTCAAATCAATAATCTAAACGACCACTTTCAGAAACAGAAAAAGATGATGAAAATAAACCCAAAACCAGCACAAGGAAAAAAATAAACATGAAGAATATCTTCAATGACACTGTACAAACCCGTACAATGTGGATGAAGTGGAAGTTTTCTGGAGAAGCAGGAGCTACCTGAAGAACATTTAGATGGTTGGGTGACCATCAGGGAAATGAAGTTCCTGAAAGGAAAAGTTCCAAAAAGGTCTTCAGGTGTAGACCACATCACTGAGAATTCTACCACACCTTTGAAGAAGGGTTAATACGAGCTGTATATGAACATTTCTAGGAAGTAGAAGCAGAGGGGATGATTCACAGTGTATTTCATGAAGCTGGTATTACTGTAAAGGTCTGGCGAGCATCAGAGGAAGAGACCACCAAGAGACTGTCTCATGCAACAGCAAGGGGTTTATTGGGGGTCCAGCATGCTGGGGCTCAGAGCTCACTTGAATAGAGCAAAGAGCCCGAGAACAGCTTAAGCAGAGCTTATATACTTTCCTTGGAGAGGGCAGGGAGGGAAGTTCATTGACGGGTCAGGGCGAGTGGGCGGTTTGCATGCAACTGGGTAAGCAAGTACATTCTGCAGTTTGGCAGTTGGGGACAGCACATTCTGGGAACAAAATAAGCAAACAGTTCTCAAGATTATTAACCTTTCATTACCTGGCCATGAACCCAGAAAAGACGGTGCCAGGATAAAACCATGAAAGAAACCAAAGCATTCACAGACCCAATTCCATCGTGAATGTAGATACACATGTCCCTACACAAGGCACTTTGTGGACAAGCTGAGGAAGACATATGATGGTATGGATGGATGTAGAATAATGATRCAGCAAAATTCAACCCCCATTGATAAGAACTCTCAGACAGGTAGGACCAGAGCATGTTATGGAATAAATCATGTCCCCCAAAGACGTGCGTAGGTTCAAAACTCCACACCTAAGGATAAAGTATTTTTTTCTGAAGTGCCATTATTATGATGTAATTACCAATGATGGGGTCATAAGGGTCTAAGGGTACACTCTTGCTTCAGCCTGGCTTGTGTCCTTACAAGGAGAGCAGGGTGGACTCTTGATTCGGTGTGGCCTCTTCCTTATAAGGAGAACAGGGCAAGTTTTGATTCAGTATGACTTAAGCCATTCTGTGACCATCTTCTCTCCTGTTTAGTTGATGTTTGTGGCGAGACACTTTAGTATTTGCACCTCTCACTGGGGTCTGTCCTCTAGATATTTCTCTGTAGCTCCCTTTCTTTGTGGTTCCATTTAACATGAGAACCACATGACCCTGGTATGAATCTGCAGCAGGGCAAATTCAGTAGTGTAGAGACTGCTGCTGCTGTGCCTCTCCATCCCACACCCTCAGCTGCTGATGTCACAGTGGTTACCTGTGGAGACACTGTGTGTTCAGTACCATAGAACACAGCTGGTGTTTTCTGCTACATGAACCTCTTACATCTTGTAGAAAACAAAAGTGGCTCTAGTTTTAATTGTCATGAATCTGCTTTACCAGAGATGTTTCTGCCTTCATGGAGATCTGAGTTTTAAATCTGGTGTCCTTTGGGTCAACCTGAAAGACTCCCCTCAGGGGACATCTGGTGGGGACCAACTCCCTGGGCTCTTGTCTATCTGGTGCTGTGGTTGGAATGTGTGTGTCTGTCCAAAATTCCTGTTGACCCTTCAGCCTCTACATGATGGCATTGAGAGGTGGGACTGGAGGGGGCGGTTAGGCCACNGGTTCACTTCCAAGCACAGCCCCCAACACACACACACACACACACACACACACACACACACACACAAGTACTTTTGTCAAGCTGGGAGCAGTGGCATATGGCGATGTTTTAATGAGCTTCTCCATTGCTGTGGCCAAGACACCCGACAAGAACAACATAGGGGAGGAAAAGTGAACCTGGGGATCATGTGTCAGAGGTCTGAGAGCATACATGGCCAGCTCCATTGTTCTGAGCCCAAGGTGAGGCAGCCCATCAGGGAAAATGGGCCCTGCCATCTCCTGACTCGGGTCGAGGTGGCGGTGAACGTTCTGCGGAAGAAGGAGGAAGACAAGTCCCTGCTATGCGAAAGGGATTCGTTGAAGGTCCTGGAACACCCAAGCGTGATCCATCTCTTCCAGGTCATGGAGACCATGGACAACATGTACCTCATCATGGAGTGTGCACATGGAAGAGAGCTCCTGAGTCACATCCCCCTGACTTGTGGTATAAGGGAGGTGAAGGTCCGCAGGCTGTTCAGAGAGATGGTGCTTGTCCTGCAATATTGCCACCAGAAGGGCGTGGTGCACCTTGACTTGAAACCTAAGAACTTCATGGTGGATTCCAGGGTGCGCCACCCCAAGCTCATCGACTTTGGCTTGAGCACCAGCTTCACGCCTGGGCAGAAGCTGGATGGGTTCAGGGGCACTCTGCCATGCAGGGGAAGGTATTCGAGGGTCCCCCAGCAGATGTCTGGAGCCTGGACGTCACTCTTTATTTTATGTTGACAGAAAAAAAGACCATTCAGGGTGCTCACCAATAGGAGCGCGCAGCCTCATCCAGCAAATCCTGGTGGTGGACCCCATGGAGAAGCCCACCCTAGAGCAGGTAATGGGGTACCCCGTGGCTGATCCAGGGCGAGGACTCCTCATCCAACCTTCCCAGCCCTCCCAGCCAGCCACTCCCCAAGCGGCCCGACCCCCCAGCATCATGACCTTAATGCTCAACATGGGTTACAACCCGTACAAAGCCCGGTTGYCCCTGGCAAATCGTCAATTTGATGGGGCCATGGCTACCTACTTCCTCCTCCAGCACCAGAGAATCCAGGGGCCGGCCAGTGCGCTCTGGGCCAAGGCTGTGCATAATGGGATGGCTGGGCATCGCCAGGTCCCTGGGGCGGATCCTTCCAGCATCCACCCCAACAAGTGCCCCAGTGAGCCTGCCCTTGCCTTGCCCTGTGAGCAGCAGCCACCAGACAAAGCCACGCCCTCTGGGCAGAAGGGCACCACATGTGCCAGCATGTCTGTCTGTCCTCTCCACCTTCTCCACGTGAAGACACCCCCTTCCAAGCCAGCCTCCCAGCAGGACCCTCTGGCCTCCCAGGGTGGCTCCACAGGGCAGCCAGGTGAGAGAAGCAGGGGCTGGAGGGGGGTCACCAGGCAGCTGGCCACCTTCCTGCAACAACTGTGCTGCTGCCTGCCGTGCTTCCGTGGGCCCGCCTTCCGCAACAGAGTGGCTCCGAGTGGCGCAGGCCACAGACCCCATAGGTTCCACAACAGAGTGGCTCCAGGGAACATGCCCACGTGAGACAGACCCATGGACAGCCAGAAGACCCCCAGCCGGAGCATCAGGACCTCATGGCGCCAGCAACGGTCAGGAAGCGGACTCCAACAGCTTCAGAAGTGAGGTCGCCAACTGGCTCAGGCTTCTCTGTGCAGATTCCAGCCAGGAGCGCATCAGGATTCCCCAGGACTCTCCTCTCCCCCACCTGCCGGAGACATCAGAGACTCTCTTCCCTCAGACACTTCCCCCTGCCCTGCTCTTCTCTGCCATAGCAGAGATGGTTCTTAATAAATTTGTTTCTCATGAATTGAATRATAAGATTGACGTTCCAATGATTTATTTAAAAAGCAAACATGTTTAAAGTAGGAGGAGAAAGAGAAAAAGAGGGAGGCCTCAGGGCAAGGGAGGAGTCCAGCAGCCATCATGCTGCCCAAGGCCTGGACTGTTCAGTGTAAATAGAGACCCCTGCCCCTTGAGCCAAGGCACAGTGGGACTCGAACACCTTGGGCCAGTGTAAATGGGGACTCTCTTGCCTTAAGTCTGTTTGAGCTGATCGCTTTGGCTGTGAAGAATCCTGCTTGCGGGCATCAGGGTGGGTGGCAGCTGTTGGAGAAGACACATGTGTCAAGGCACTGGAGACTCCAGAGTGTTCTGTAGCATCATCTCCATGTTCCCATTTGCATGCAAGGGAGAGGTGGGTCAGTGGGCAGGGGTGGGCCTGCCAGCAGCAGTGGCTGGGTGCTTCACCACATGCCATGCAGCCTCTGTAGCCCAAGTCTCCTCTTGGTCACTGCTAGAGGTCCCTGAGTTTGAGCACCGGGGATTTGGGGACTGGAGATGTTAAACCATCTCAGGGTTGCTACTTACATCAAAGCCAAGTGCACCCACATGGAATTGCTCTTCTCTTTGGGTTCTAGGGACTCTGAATTTTGTCAAGTGAAGTGCACACCAACAAAGAGAAACCCTCAGGTCAGTCAGGATGGGAGGCTTCGTGTACGTTTAAGCCCTGGCATCTCCACAGGGCTGGGACTGGCAGAGCTGCTCTAGCAGTTTCTTCCTACCCTTCCCCTTAGTGGGCAGAGATGGATACCTTACAAACAAACAAACAAGAAAAGTTTGTGCCATTTGTCCTATTAATCGTTTGCCATTTCCTAGGAGGGCCTCTAGACTTGTAACATTATGAGCAGCTTAGAAGTTTCTAAAAAGTAAAGTCTTTGAATAGTTTTCTAAGCAAAAAGAAGAGCATGGAAAATGCCCCTAAGGTTAATCCCCTTTCCAGCTTGAGGCAGGGCACACTGTGTGCAGCCTGGAAAGGGAAGAGTCTGGATCCAGCCTTGCCCTTGGGACTGGATTGTCTAATTGCTGCCTGAAGGTTCTGGGAGGCAGGAGAGGCATGACGAGGGGAATGGGGCAGTGTGCTTAAGGAGGAAGCTCAGGGCCAGGCTCTCAGAAGGACAGCCGCAGTGGATGTGCAGGAAGTCTGAGGAGGGAAGGGAGGCAGGGTAGAGGAGGAATGCCTTTGGTGCACCTTGTGTGCCTTTGTCTGGGAGGTGGAAAGGAAGGGTTTCCTGGTCTCTCTTCTTGTAGACCTGATGCTGGGCAGGGCTGGGACTTGTCTGATAGGTTTTCTCTCTGTTGCCCCTACAAGGAGAAACTGGCCTTCTTATGGTGCACATGGTAACAGTTCCTGTCTGAGAGGTGGGAAAAAGAAGGGCTGTTTTACTTACTGCATTATACAGTTATGTGAAGGCTGAGCGCCTTCATGCTGAGGCCCTGCCAACAAGTAGTCCAAAACCATGGGCTCCATTCCTACAGCCAACACTCACTTGCCCACCGTTGTCCCCAAATGCCTGTTCTCCCTGAGGCCTCCTTTGTTCACCACTTCCTCAGCTTCTTCTTTCCTGCTGCTGACAAGTGCAGCCAAGAGAGAATGGGTGTTTGGGTCAGTGCCATGTCCACAAGTCAGAGGAGTTAGTTCATGGTTAGCTGTCCAGAAACCCAGAAGTGGCAACCATCTTCACAGACCCTGAATAGAAGTAGGCCTCAGTGTGCTCAATGAGAGCAAGACTGTGGCCCTGGGAGTCATTGTGCTTAGGTCATCCAGGAGACCCAATGTAAGTGAACCTGTAGACTGATCAGCAGGATTTTCTCAAAGCAAAAAACAGAAGAAAGTTTTGTGTTGTTGTTTCTCCTGCTGCTGCTGCTGCTGCTGTTATTCTTAATAAATAAAGCTTCAGTGACCTATAAGACGGCCTAGCATTAGTGTCATCAGAGATCCCAAATGAGAGCTTGGAGTATGGCACAGAAAATAAGTATGTCTCAATTTTCCAAATGTGATGAAAGACATGAATCTACAGATTAAAACAACTTAGCAAACCTCAGCAGGCACATGGAGAGCTCTAACCAACCATGGATGAAGGAAAACACTTGCAGTCATCCAGAAGAAAACAATAGCTTATTAACAGATATGGAACCATTGAAGTGACTGTGGAATTCTTATCCAAACTTATGCAAGACCGAAGGTGGTAAAAATAATATTTCTGAAGTACCCAAAGGAAAAACATAGTAAAAATCAAAATTTTTCATTTGGAAAAAATTCTTCAGGAATGATAGTAAAATAAATGTAATTTCATAGAGAGAAAAGCTAGGGGACTAGGAAAAGGTGATGTATGATTRTAGTGTGGATTGGTGCAGAATAATTATAGGACCAAATTCAACACCTAATGATAAAATTTCTCAGGTAAGTAGGACCAAGGAGTGTTATGGATTAAATTCTATCCCCAGAAGACAGGTGTAGGTTCAAAACTCCACACCTAAGGACAAGTTTCTCCCCCCACCCCCAGAATTGTCATCATTATGGTGTGATTACCTAAGATTATCTAAGATGAGGTCCTTAGGGGCTAGCTTGAGTTCAGCCTGGCTTGGGTCCTTACCAGCAGAGCAGGGCAAGGTTTGATTCAGTGTGACTTATGTCGTTCTATGGCTATCTTCTCTTCTGTTCAGTTGATATATGTGATGAAACATTTTAATTTCTGTACCTCTCACTGTGGCTATGTCCTATAGTTATTTCTTGTGGTTCCCACTGGGAGTTCCATTTAATAGGAGAAAGGAACACCACCCTGATGCAAATCTGCAGCAGGGCAACTTCAGTAGTGTAGAGAATGCTGCTGCTGTGCCTCTCCATCCCCACCCCTCAGCTGGTGATGTCACAATGTGACATGCAGATGCACTGTGTGTTCAATACCATACAACACTGTTGGGGTTTTCTGTTACATTATTCTCTTTCATCTTGTAGAAAAGAAAAAAGTGGCACTAGCTTTTATAATGTCACAAATTTGCTTTACCAGAGATCTTTCTGCCTTCATGGAGATCTGAGTTCCTAATTCGGTGTCCTGCAGGTTGACCTGAAAGACTCTCCTCTCACAGGGCACATGTAGTGGCAACCAACTCCCTGGGCTCTTTATAAATTTCTGTTTCTCACAAATGTATACTAAAATCGATGTTCCAAAGATTAACAAAAAGTTGGTTTCAAAAATATTCTCCCACTTGGTCCCTCAGGATGGGGCAACATGTGGAACCTCAGGAAAGCTAAGCAGGGATCCAGTTTCCTGAGCAGACTCTTTTGCCAATATTATTGTTAACTAAACCTCACTGCATTCCCTCAGGGTTGGGTGGCAATATTATGTTTTGATGGAAATGTAGAACAGATGGAGGAAAGTTAAAATGAAATCTTACCTTTCACAATGAGGAACGAGGAATGTTCTTTTGTTTGTTTGTTTGTTGTGTGTGGTTTTTTGTTTGTTTGTTTTTTCATTTTTTTTTTTTTTTTTGGTGGTGCTAGGGATTGAACCCAGGGCCTTGTGCATGCAAGGCAAGTTCTCTACCAACTGAGCTATGTCCCCTGCCCCAGGAATGTTCTTTATCCCAGATTTGCAGTGGTCTGTAAATCCAGGATAAAGGACTGGGGGTCTGCAGGAGTGGGGAGGTCTAGCCAGCTGGCTCTCGGCCAGGCCTCCCGAGGCTTTGCTGAGCTGAGGGCAGAGGCCCAGGGCCTGGTGCCTATGTCAACCTCTAGCTGCCTTACGAGTCCTGCTGTTTGGGAAAGCCTTAGGCACCCCCAGTAAAGGTCCCATTGCCTGAAGAAGAGGTGCCAAGCCAGAGCTATCACCTCTGGATGGGCTTTTCTGAGTCACTCCAGCTGGGGTGGACAGGTACCCCAGAGTCCACTCTGAAGGTAACGGGCTCCCTCTAGGCCAACACCCTCTTTCGGTRCTCTTACCTGCCCACTGTTCTTGACAGTTATGTATTTAGGTTATTTAAACAAACAGCAGAATAAAGCCAACCACAAGAGTAATCCTGAATCTAATGAGAATCATAATTCAAAATGAGCATTTTCCCCTCTTGGAAGTTCAGTTACTTTGCAGATGACAGGCAGACACTGGTGCCCAGTGGTAGGGCACCTCAAGACAGATGCACCGGGGGGCCCTGTCTGGCCCTGGCCTCTTCTCCTGTCCAACCTATCAGTCCTCCTCTGCCCTCCCCAACATTCCCAAATGTGAGTTTTGAGGGATGTGAAGACTCTTTAGGCACAGAGCCCTGCCCCATGCACAAACAGCATTGCTCGTCATTTTTTTTTTCTTAACTTCAGCCCATAAACTTCCTCAAAGACAGCTCCTGGGACTACAGCATCAAAATGCCTTTTACCCATGAGTGTTATTCCTCAGAACATCCTTCCTCTTCCTGGTGTTTCAGCAGGTTGCTCACAGCAGCGTTCTCACCTGCTGCCTCCTGGTCCTAGCCCCACAGACAGAGGGACCTTAGGAAACTCCCTGGGACATCCATTCCTGTGCCTCAAATCCTTCTTCAGCTCCCAGAACCCAGAGCAACAATGCCGAACACTCAGCTGTACAGAATCACCAGGAGCTTTGAAAGGTCCATGCTTGAACCCCACCCAAAAATCAGACTTTGAGGGGCAGGCAAAAAGAGCTCTTAGGTATTTAAAATGTGCAGCCTGAACTGGACAT